CGGTGCAGGGCTGCGCAGCACAGCCTCCCGCCTGACCCCGCTTGGCCCCTGCCGGGCCCCAGGGAAGCACCCGGGCACACGGTAACGCTGCTTTACTAGGGAGCGTTAAACCAGTAATTACGTGACGCACCAGGGTGAGCAAGCGCCAGAGACGTCCACATCTCCCAAGTGCCCGGGGCTGGGAAATAGCCTCAGACACACCACAGGTGCTCAAGACACAAAACCGCACTGAAGTCTTCAGGAGTCGCTCATGCCTTTCATTAACTAGAAGGAAGAAGAGCAGTAAGCCCAAACCTGTAGTTAACAGCTCTCCTGCCGCAGGAGGGGAGAGACCCCACGCTTCCCGGGGATGTGCAGGTGAGAGAAACAGAACTCCCTCCCAGCCCTCCGAGTCAAAAGCAGCCAGCTATGGGAGTAAAAACACCACTGCAGCAAGGACAAGTCAGTTCCAGTCATTTATTCATTGCAGCACCTGAAGTACACCAGGTACTTGGTGAAGATCCCCAGATAGACAACAGGAAGAATGCTCGGTACAGTAAATTATATAAAGAGAGTTAAATAGATAAAATAACATGGTAACCTCTCACTCTGGCTACAAACAGAGCTGACTAGCCCTGAGCCCAGGTTAACATCAATAGCTTCAGTCCTTCCAGCTGGTTCATGGCCCCACGCCCAGGGACAGCAAGGCATCTGTCCTCACAGCTGAGGCAGGCAGTGTGCACTTCTCGGCCAGCTCTTCAGCAGCTCGGCTTCCGAAGCTGCGCAGAGCCCGACTTCCCGTCAAGGTTCAATCTTGTTGAACACGTCTGGAAAGCCGGTCCCAGCTTTGGTGCAGAAACAAAGAGCAGCTCTTCCAAAGATGGGCCTTCAAGTACTTCAGGATCAGCCACAGGTAATGCACTGGAGACATCCAGAAAGACTGGTAGAGCCAAGAGGCAGGGCAGCACCCCAGACTGTTGCCTTTCCTGCGCTAAGCCAGATTTAAACCACGTTTTGAGGCTGTTCCTGAACTGTGTACAGTTCAGTCATGCTTTTGCAAGACACTTGCTTTGCAACTGCGTTAAGACAAGTCTCCACCCACTCTAGGTTTCCAGTTTTATGCCAGAAAAAAAATCCCATCCCAGAAAGACTACGTATTTCTCTTCAGTTTTCACATATCCACTTTCAGGAACTGTTCACCTTCTGTCGAGAAGGAAGATGGGGTCTGAAGCCATGTGCCTGCAGAACAGCAGGCATCACAAGTAGCACCAGAATGAAGAAAGCCCATGTTACCAAGACAAGACTGTTATCCCACTGAGACTGGCTTTACTTAATCTAGGAGATCACTGTATCTCTCTAGAGCCTGCTTCTCCAGTTCCAACAGCTTTTGGTACAATTTCTCAGCAGTTTCTTCATCCACATCAATCTGGAAGACAGTAAGAACAGTACTGTGAGACCACCACCTTGGTGGCAGCTAGCACAGATGCCGAGGGCAGCTCTGGAGATAGCAGGGTGCATCTCCAGAATTCCTACATTCACAGAGAGGCAACCAAAGGCATCTATCACCAGGGAACGAGCCAGAACATATTTTGGGAAAGCATCACCACACACCCATCCTGTTCTGACCATCGCTTCCATTGCCTCCCAGACTCCAGCCTGAAGCTGGCAGCCAGGAGTTACTCCAGGAAACCTCACAGATAACCCCACATCCCTCCTTGCTGCTCAGCATTCAACACGCATCTTGTTTCCACTCCAGACACAGGACACCCTTGGCACCAACTCCTCCACGCAAGGCCGATGGCAGACCCCTAGCCAAGTCCCCCGCAGCCGGAGGCTGCTGCTCCATTCACCTTTCTGGGCTCCACGTAGTTCTTCCCCAGTCCAGAAGTACAGCTGTGGTATTTGACAAGTGCATCCAGGTACTCTGGCTTCTGCTTGAAGAGCCACACCTAGGAAGAACAGCACAAACGTGTACGAGTCTAGCGTGCACCATCCCAACCAAGCAGTCAAGGACATGACTGTCAGTGGACACAGGTGAACACAGTACAGGTGCTTCCACCAAGCAGGAGGAGACTTGATATCCAGAGAAGTCTGAGCTGGCTCCTCTCGCCTGTGACCTACCAGAGCGGCAAACTGTGTTTACGTCCCAGTGCTAAACCACTGGAGAAGTCCCCGTGGCTGGACTCACCCACTGCGGCTCTCAGGACACCGTGCCCTGCGTTACCCACCTCCTTCCCCTCTGCCTGCTCACTGCCAGGGGGACAGCAATGTTCTCCCTGACCGAGAGAGAAGGAATAGTGTCTTTTCCAAAATCATTTATTTTATGGGCGTCTGATGAAGGCCATAAGCATCACCTGGTGGATCAGCCCTGGTCATAGCTGGTCCCCCAGCACTCACTGCTGCGTGCTGGTCAGGGGTGAAATGCAGCACTCGCCCAGCAGCCTTGCTGAGAGGCTCTTTGTTCAAGCCAGCAGACTGGAAGGGTTACCCAGAAGGAAGGAATATTAAAATCAAATTGTGAACTACTTACATGAGCTTCTGCTCCATTATACGGTGTCAGAGTGTAAGTTTTGGCAAAAAAGCGGATCTGAGGGGAAAGGAAGTACATGACAGAATCAGTATTTTGGCCCAAGGCTGGGTTTTTTTGTTTTTGGGGTTTTTTTTTGGCAATCCCTCTGCAGCTCAACCACACCAGATCACCTACCATCAGTAGAAACGCCTCTCAAAGTGGACTACAGGTAACACTGCCCACATGACTAAAGCATCCCTTTATCACCACAGACTCTGGTCTCCAGAGCCACCCACCAGATAGCTCAGCAAGCCTCGCTCCGTGCCCGCCCCCCCCCAGAGCCAACGAGCCATACGTATGCCCCGCGGGCACCGCTTCTGGAGTGGCTGCGAGAGCACACCAGGCAGGAGGCAGAGAGCATCTGCAACGCTGCCAGGAGAAACGCGATCCCTCAGGATTGGCTTCGGCAGAAAGGTCCATCTGCAGCAGGAGCCTCAGGGCTCAGAGCAGGCAGCCTTCAGGGGCAGAACTGCAGCGAACCTGAAAAGCTGAAGCCCAGAGGAAGAAAGGCAAGGCAAGTTTTGGTGAAGAAGCAATGGAGAACAGCAGGCTTTGCTTTCCCAAGGGATGCAAAGAAGAGAGTAGGAAACACTGCCTTCTAGAGGGATGGAAGGAAGAACACTGAAAAATACAGAGTCTGTTCTAGAAACAAACACTATCTCAAAGCACAGGGGCCAAGTTTTGTCCCGAGCTCTGCTGCCACCAAAACGACAGCGTTTCACAAGCCCACCACAGGCTGGCAAACCTTCCAAGGGGAGCCTTGACAACCGCTGCTGTGGCTGAAGGGCTGAGCGCTGCCTCTGTGCACAGTGCTGTCCAGCACCAAACCTCCAAACTCAGCTTGGAAATCGGGGCCCCGAGGTGCCAAAGGGAAGGTTTGCAGAGGGGCCAGCCCGCTCGATCCAACAGAAGGAAGAAGAGCTGTACAGCAGCATGGGTAGCAAGGAGCCAGAAGCACGCTGCACATCACTTGTGGTGAAGTTCATGACAGCAGGGCTACCTCAACCCAAACTGAGCCAGGAGATCCACTTACCAACCACATGATGGGCATTAGCAGCTTCCACAGAAAAACTGGCAGGATGCTGTAGGTCATGTTGGACATAACGAGACCAGGACAAACAACACTGGAATACAGACCCTGCAGAGAAGAAACCAGGTCAGTGTGCAAATACACAACAGTTAGTCTGAGAATGGGTCATACTCCTTCCCTCCTAGTACTTCTCAGCAAGAAAGTGAAGGTGAGTATCGAGACCAGTTAACAGTAGATGCTTTCCTCTCTAAAGTTAGCGGAGCCAAAGACTGATTAGCTGTAGTGAGTTCTGAGAGGCCCAAACTGGAGATGTTCATGTTAAAGCTGGGCCCATTGCAAGCCCGTGAGACAGGAGGCGCAGCCTCCCAACACATCACATGTTGCAGTCTACACGCAGCTCAGCAGTCATCCCACAAATTACAGCCTACTCAGATCAAAGACTACCTCACCTTCAAGAGATAAGAGTTCAGCCTTCTAGGACTAAACCATTTTCTCTTGCAGTACTTCAGAGTGCAATCACTATCGCTGCACTAGGGCTGCAGCTTGCCAACAAAATCCGCCAGTCCCCCGTGACAGGGACGGCAGGTTGCTCATACAGCTTAGCAAGCTTGAGTACCAGCATGGAGCCATCAGGAGAGACAGCACAGCCTGCACCTCAAGCGCTTGCAAGCAAAGCTGCCTGAGCAGCCCCGTTCCAATAGCCAGGAATTCCTGAGAACAGCAGCAGCTCTTTGCTCTTTAAGATCAGTTTTTTTGTCTAATGCGACAGCTAGAGCTTGTGAGGTAGGGATTGCTCAAAAAAAACTTCTGCTTTCAGCTAAAACCCATGGACAAAAACCCCAGGAGCAATCTCTCTGGCAGATTCTCCACCGCCCACACCACCGGTTCAACCTCGGCTGTGTCTAGTTCTCCCATGTGTGTTAGGGAACATATCAGCTTGCTGCAAATGAGTGCAATTAGGTAACAACAATAATGATAATTATAAATAGTAGGAGCTCATTAGGTTTCTTCAAACTACAAACCCCATCATCACCTGCTTATTAAATTTCCTGTTCAGAACCACACTTGTCAGGTCAGTAGCATATTTGGAAGAACTGTATGATTCCTGCCCCTTGGCATGCTGATAGTCAGAGAGGCTGAAGGCAGACTCCCTGGCATTGCTGGAAGAGGTCCAGATGAGTCGTGAGGGCTTTTCGTTACCGCAAAGTAGAGACTCAAGTTGACGAACCTGCGAAAGAATTGTTAACTTACTTAAATTACACAGTAATTTTAAAGTCTGGCAGTGTAGCTTTACAGTTGTTAAAATCTCAGCTTTCTTGGCCAATCTTCACTAGACTAGCCAGAAGCAGCCACTGTTCGGGTATAACTTCAGCCCAAGGTCCATTAGGAGTGTTTACAAGCAGCTGCCATTCTCCTGCACAGCTCAGTTGAGCACCTCAGAGTTTAATACAGCCAAGCCTTAGCATTCACCCTGGACAGAGGGAACTACCTATGGTTTACTTCTATCCACTGGCTGACTAGAGTAACCTCAAAATTATATTAACCCTTGCAACAACTATCACCATTTATTGCTATTTAAACAAAGCTCAAGACCTTTGCCCTATCGTTCTTCATCGGCCAGGCTGCAGCCTGCATCAGCATCTGAACCTGTAAGACAGAACTGATTCATCGGTACCCACATCAACCACCAGACCGAGGGCTCGATCTTCACACACAGCCACTTCCCCATCCCTGGAAGTGTTCAAGGCCAGGCTGGATGGGGCTTCGGGCAACCTGGGCTAGTGGAGGCTGTCCCTGCCCATGGCAGGAGGTTGGAACTAGGTGATCTTTGAGGTCCCTTCCAACCCAAACCATTCTATGATCCTCACCAGGATAAAGTGTCCAAAGAGGTTGGTAGCAAACACCTCCTGAAGTCCATCTCCATTCAGCCTGTCCGTCTGGGTCATTATGCCTTCCGCAGTGGTCAGCATGTGAAGCACCTTCCTGGAAGCCAAGGACAGGAGTTAGAGGGGAACACAGCCAGGAGGCATCTACTGCTCCCCTGCTTCAGTCCTTCAGAAGCATCCCCCACCCTCCAAGCAGACTCTCTAGTTTTAAAAACGGCTGGAAAAAGTTTACCGAGTATCCCAGCCCCTTTATTTGCAAGTCCCTCAATACTAGCTAGAACAGACTTGTCCCTTCCTTCACCTCACCACAGTAAAGTACCATAATAAATAAATAAATAAATAAGTCTTGCTCTTCCATTTCACGTTCAGATAACAAAATCAAGCTCCAGCTTGGAACTAAGCCTAGGGCCAGGCCCAGTGTGGATAAGGAAAGCAGTCTAGCACCTATATTCAACACCCCAACAACTACATTAGGCTCAAGACGTGTCACTTTGCTCCCTAGCTCAGCCTCCCTGCGCTGCTTATAGAATACTGACACATCCCCATGGTGCTTATAGAACAAGCATCAACCCCTGGCTTCACAAGCTACCACAATCCACAGCCGATAACAACTACAAAAACCTACAGCAGAGCCAAAACAACAGCAAGGAGACCCAGCGAGAGCAGACTCCCCCTCCCCAGCAGCACACCAGCGTTCTTCACGCCGCGCCTAGTGCCAGGAACCGCAGGCTTTGGGCGAACCCTCGCCCTGCACGGGGCAGGCCCCACGCCAGGGATCACAAGCAGCACTGGGTGCCTTGGGGCACAGGGACGTGCCCCACGTCGCGCTGGGGAAGGGGAATAAGAGCGTGCCTCGGCTGTGGCCGTGCTGCCGGCACCCCACGGACCAGCCCCCCCGACATCTCCTACCCGGTGAGGAGGCCATGCCAGAGCGCCTTGAAGTTCACGTGTGGGTTGGGCATGATCCCAGCGTTGAGATAGACGAAGTCCAGGCGCTGAAACCTGAGTGGGGAAGAGCACAGGGGTGAGAGGCGGAGGGCGGCCGGGGGGGTCCGGTGGGGCGGAGGACGGAGACCCGGTACCTGCAGCGGAGCTCACGGGTGACGCGCAGGACAGAAGCCAGGTTACCCAGGTCCACTTCCACGGTGG